AAACGAGCTCGAAGTTAGTGTCAGTTCACCGGCGAGCTTCATTGGAAATTGAGCCAATTAGAGTACTCGAGTTAACGACCTATCGTAATACGCTTTCGCGAGGCCTTTCGACGATTACGTCGTCCTGTTGGCCCTGTCCCCCTGCCCTCCACGTCTTTAAACGAACGTGACATCACGAACCGCTTTACGCGCGCCCGTATATCTGCTCGTTTCTTGATTAGGAATGGTCCTCGAGGCGATTAACCAAAGGCTCGCGTGACGATCGGGAAAGTTGTCGTTTCCTCGTTCGACCATCTTCTTTTTTCTTTGCCATTTACTAACACGAAATTTTGCCATTCGTTTCGAATGGAGATTTACGATAATTCATTCGTGGAATTAATTACGCGGATTGGATCTATCTGCTATCTGCGGGTCTTGAATTTGACTCTCGGGCTAGAAAATTTGAAATAATTTGATATCTAATTTCGTCCGAGTCCAAATTTTTTGAAATGAGAGGGGGAATGAATTCAGAAAAATCAGCCTAATTGATCGTAACGAACGCGAGTTTAACGACGAGAGGCGTTGAAAAATTCGACAAGAATCGGTTCAGCCGTTTGGAGTTTATTCACTTTTCCGTTTATTCTGCTGGACTTTCGCGTCCCGAGAATCTTATTTCTATCCCCCGACGAAAGTGGATCCTATCTAAATGTCTGTTAGTTACCGTATTACCGCCATTCTCTCTCACGGAAGTTCGCGCTCCCTGTGACCAAGGAAACTTCAGTCCCGCTCTTCTGAATGGGCACACGGTATACACCGACCCGTTCAACGTTGAAAATAGGCCCTTAATTCTCATTTGCCTGTTTAACGTCCTGGCAACTTTAAATAAACGGCAGTGCCAACAAAGGGGAAACATCAGCCTGTTTCTTCCGAGAATTCGTTCTTTGTTAAGTCGCGAAGATTCTGCCATTAAAATCTTCTCAATCTGCGCGATCTAAACGGAACTTTTCCAAATCGAATCGAATTCGTAAGGTGGATACCCTTTCGTCGAAAACTGGATTTTTGGCCGCGCCAGAAACGTGAATTCCAAGTCTCTCTAACTCGGAATCGAAGATTGACGATATCACAGTCAGATGGAATTACCCCTGAGCCTCCACGTGGACTAAGGAAGATCGACGCGTTTAGGATATTGGAATTACGCAAATTGCACCGCGCCGAACGCGGAAATCGATGTGGTTCGGATGCCACGGGCCCATTGGTCGTCGCGCAAACATCCAAACAATGCGAGTAGCCGCGTGGGGCTCGAGTATCGGTTCAAATATTGACTAGCGATATCTTTAGCCGGCAATTAACGCGATGGGCCGGCGTTAAATATTTATTCTTCTAACCAACTGAAACGTGAAACACACCTATTATCCTTCGTCGTCATCGAAGAAATCCAACAACGTCCATCATCTTACCAACGTCCTAATCTACATTGTCTTAAGCTCGATGTGGTACCATTTTACGAAAAAACAACTTCAACCTCGCAACCTGAAACACACCTATTATCCTT